AAAGAGCTCAAACAGCAGCGTCCAATGCGTGAGGTAGATGTACCACTCCGGCGCCGTCTCCCAGTCGTTGCTCTTGTGCTCTGCCATGGACCAGATTGTGATCCCAAGCCAGAAGGCTGCCAGGCTCGCCCGCAGTGCCAGGAAGGCCTCGGGCGGCGCGCAGCGGGCGAGATTGCTTGGCGTGGAGTAGGCCTGCCGCCAGGAAGGGAGCGCAAAGCACCAGCCCTCCCGGCAGTTCGCGATGAAGGCCACGTCCAGCACATTTGGTTTCTGGGTGTCCGGGGTCTTCATTCCTGTGCTCGCAGGGCGTCGCAGCGTGCGAGCGATTCGGCGGAATGGGACGGCCGACGCCAGTGGATGGTTTGTCATAAATTTCGAATGCTGAGTTAGCTCGTGAAATTCTTTTTCAAATTAGATACACAACTGTCGTTCGTTAGGTACGGTTTGCTCTCGCTGTTTGCCCCTGCCAATGGTCGCCCTGTTCGCGGCCTCGCTCGCCTTCACCCTCCCCCGGCCGCCGCCGCTGGGTGCTCGGCCGCCGTCTCGGCTGTGCCTTTCTGCCACCGACGTCGCCTCGGCCTCTGCCCTTCTGGCCGCATACGACGAGGGCCACAGGGCCACGGCGGCGCAGCCCGGCAGCGAGGGCCTCGGCGGCGCCATCAGTGCCAATGCGTGGGCGGCCGAGCAGCCGCCAGCTCCGCTGGGCGAGGCCGTGCGCGCGCTGCTGGCCGCCGCCAAGCCCGGGGATGGCAGGATCATGCTCGGCTTCTGTGCTGACGACGCTGCGAGCGGCGTTGCGGCGCTCAAGGCGTGGGTGACTTCGCTCGGGCTCCCAAAGGGCACGCTGCACGGGATGGACCGCGACGGTGTGCCGCTGGACATGTCAACCTTTGGCTCCGTCTACATCAAGTGGACTCGAACAAGCAATCAACCGCTCCATGCCGCCTCCGTCGACCCTCACCCGCCGGTGCCACCTCTCTAGGTACTCGTCCCACTCGCTGAGCGCCGGCGACCCGCCCGGCACCGCGATCCTCTCCGGCTACGGGGGCGACTTCAGAGGTGTCTGCTTCTACCCTCCGCCCTGCCCGCTAGGAACCTTCTCGGACCCTTCCCGGACCCTTCCCGCAGGAGTCTACTTCAACCCGCAGCTGCCCGACGGACTCTTCCGCCAGTACGCGGTGCTGCCCCTCTTCTAGATCCTTCTCTGAACCTTCTCTGAGCCTTCTAGGACTCTTCCGCCAGTACGCGGTGCTGCCCCTCTCACATTTCCCCCTCGCGCCAGCCCTAGAGCATTCAAGAGGTTACGCCCCCTCCCCCCCACCAAGTGGCTAGACACACCTTAGACGGCTCCTTCTCTAGGGGCTTTCCTTTTGAAAATGCCCGTGGTCAGTAGAACTCGGTCCTTCGCAAGTTTTCTC